GAATGTTCGGCTTCTTCTTCTTCACAATTCTCGTATGCCGATCCCATGATTCTAGAGGAATTAAAGGAAAAAGATCAGCGGATTGGTGCCTTGGAGGAGCAGAACGCCACAATCCTATCTCAGCTGGCGGATCAAAAGCAAACGAACCTCGACATATTGGCGAGGCTAGATCGTTTGTTTCCTTCGGGTTCTTAGTTGTTTTTTTGTGTGTTTAAAACTTTCTGAATGTTTTTTTTTATTATCAGTTGTGTAAACTTAAATTCTATAATATTATAAGTTTTTAATTTTAAATTACATTTATTTACGAATTTAAAACAAAAATTTTAAAATGAAAAATTAATATAATTTTTTTTTAAAAAAATTAAATCAAACTTACCGACGACATAGGTCGTCGGAATAAACCGATGAGCACTTTCGTCGGGAATATTCCAACGACCGTATCCGTCGGAATATTCCGACGACAGTGCTCATCGGTTTATTCCGACGACCTATGTCGTCGGTATATTCCGACGACCATATCCGTCGGAATATAACGACGACATAGTTCGTCGGAATAAACCGATGGATTTCTCTCGACATATACCGATGGATTTCTGATGATGGTGTCCGTCGAAGTGTCGTCGGTAGTTCGTCAGAATTACAGTCTCTCGGAATTCGTCGGAATTCGGCGGAAATTGTCACGGATTTCCGACGAAATTTTTTTTTCCGACAAAATGATACCGACAAACGTCTTCGTCACGGTTTCGTCAGAATACGTCTATTCTGACGGATTTCCGACAGTTTTGGCCGTCGGTATCCTTCTGTTTTCTTGTAGTGACAGCATCTTTAATTGAAAAACCAGCACAAATAATACATAACCAAAACTAAAGAGCGCACTCATACAAATTAATGCATTAGAGAACAAAACAAACACACAACATAATTAACATTCATTGTTGTTGCAATCATCTTGTTGCTCGATATCAGAAGCAGCCTCGTAGTAGTCATCATGATCTCCCCCAAAGCTATCAATCCCACAAGGAACATGACCATTCCCAAAAGCCTTGACGTGGTCCTTGAGAGACCTCTTGTGCTTAAAATCCGAGCCACATGAGCAATATCAAAGCTTACCACAATTCTTCTCATGCGTTCTCCAATCTCCTTTCACTGCAAAGGCTTTGCCACACCTGCGACAAGCAAAAGGTCTAGGCCCATGTTTGCGTTTGTAATGTGTTTGGAGGGTACGAAAGTCCTTGAGAGGCTTGGCTCGTGGGTGGTCAATGTTGTTCTTACAGCCTGGTGCACAGCAAAAACATGGTAGTCTTAGCATTCCTGTTGGTTGTGTTCCTCTAAGTGACTCTGGTCCCTTTCTGTATCCCTTTCTGTATTGTGAATCGTGTCCCCACATGTGCATCTACAAGGAAAACGTTTTTCACGTCATCAATCATAGAGGAGCCGTCGGTCTTATTGTGGTGGGTATTGTGACTCTTTGGATTGGATTATTTCAAATGCAGATATTTGTATTAATATATTTGAACGATCACTAGTTAAGACTACATTTTGTAGTTGTTGGAAACATTTAAAGCCAAACGTATCTTCCTCTGATGTGAGTTTAGTTACCGTTTACAAGTTTCAAAAATAAATTGAAAGTTTGAAAGTGTCATCTTTTTAGATGAACTCGATAATTTAACATACATGAACATAGGAAAAAAAAAAAAAACCTCAAGCCTTACATAGTTAATGTTTTATAAGATGTAAGAGGCTTTAAGCCTTTAACAAAAAAAAAAATGCAAAAGCGAAAACCAGTATATATAAAGTTATATTTTGTAGATAGTATAGCCTCTTTTTTCATGAAAAAAATTTGCTTTTGTGAAATTCTTTCCTCCTTTATACATTATTTAAGAAGTGATTTTGTTATTTGTCATCACCATAATCAATTTCACTAAAATATAGATGACATGCAATAGTAAAAAATATGACATGTATTAAGACAAAATATGACATGAACAATTACATTTAATGTTACTTTTTATTTTTGGTAAACTTTTTAAACTATGATAATACTCATATATCATCATTAAAATAAATTTATTGAAATATTTTTAGTATATTTTTATAATATAAAACTTTTATCACTAAATAAGATTTTAAAAATTTATGTATATTTTTAAGAAAATATAAATTTTAATCAATACCATTTACTTTCCTTTAATATCTACAAATTTGAGAAATTCTATTTAGTTTTTATTACAATTTTCTATCATTTTTCTAATCTTATATAAGTTGATTTAAAATATACTAACCTAATGAAATAAATGAAAATCTAACTACGGTTATGCATATTTATTCTTAAATATAATGTAAAATAAAATAAATTATTACTTAATCTTATTTTATGTTTAATTAAATTAAATTTATATTAAAATATTGATATAAAATAAAAGTAAAATTAAAATATTAACAAAATTTATTTTAAATATTATTTAAATTAAAAATAATTATCTTATATTTAGTGTAGGAAAACGCTTAGTAACTACTAGTTGTGGGTGTCTATCTCTTGGGTTGTATATAAAAAAAAAACGTTTATTATATTCACAAACTAGGGTTTGGCCCGTCCTACGGGCAGGTTAGTAATTGAAAAAATTATACAATATATTATTAATTTTATTGAATATTTTAAAATGATTAGTTTACTCTAAATTGAAAAAGTAATCTCTATTTTCAATATATAAGGTTTGATGTTTTTTATTACAGGAAAATCTTAGAATTATAATACAAAAGATTACAATTATACATATATTTCAAATTCTACAAATAACAATTATATATTTTTACATATTATCTATTTTGAGTAATAGTGATATTTTTGAAATGATGCTTGTTATATTTTTAGCATGCTTTTTTCAGCATATTTTTTGATTTTCTTTTGTTGAAAACTTAAAATGTTGATAAATACCCATATAATAGAGGCTTTTAACTAAAAATGTTATTAAGACAAAGATATGTCATGTAATACCAAACGCAGCTTGGTCAATGTTGGGATAAGTCTCGAGGTCACACTCACTGTCAAGGCAGTAACGCAGGAATATTCTAGTGTAGAAAGAGAGCAAACAATATATAAACAGTATTATTAGTCCTAACTATCATCTTTCTTCGACAGCTTCAAAGAAATGAAAGTATTCTAACTCCACATAGAAGGTTATATCCTGAACATGGTCCACATGTTATAGACAAAGATAATCATCATGAATTGACTAAAGAGCAAAAGATAAGCAATCATTTTCTTTGAACCTAGACATGTTTGATCTAAACAGTTTTGTTCATGCGCTTCAATGTGTTATATGACAATAAATTTAAATGCTGTTTAATAATTTTCTCTCATTTTATAAAATAGAGGTACTGTATTGTATTGAAGACCCATACACACATGTCAGAATATGAAAGAATTTAAGCAAAAAAAAACATATTCTCAAGATCAAACCAAAGAGAAAAGGTTAACTTTTTATGATGATTTGCTCTCACATGTTACTACCATCATCAAGCGATGTATATTTTAGACTTCCTAAACTACTTTATACATATGGAAAACACAGAAGAATTATGGTAAGTAAAAAGTTCACCATTTAGAACAGCTAGAGACCTGCTCAATGAGGAATGTAATATGCTTAAAACCATACTCCACAACAATTGGCTTCTTCGATTCAACAGGCTTTCCCTCAGCCTCAGACTGAGCTTTTTTGAGAAGAAGTTGTTATGTGATACTCTGAAAAGTTCACTCTATTAATAAAAAGGAAAACGATTACAACCAATAAGTATTTCTCTAGAGTCTTTCTTTCCCTTTACAATTTTGTGATCAAATCTCTTGATACTCTTGCCTAACAACCTCTCTCTCCTCTAAATAAACAAGACGACAAATAAGGAAAAAACACAAGACACACCACGTGAGACGTTAGCCATTAACCGTTATCTCCAGCACACAACGTTGTTTATTCTTTATTCCCCTACTCAACCTTAACCGTTAACCTCAAGTGGCACCTGATGCCACGTCACCCTCCTTCTCATTGGTCTTGTGCTGACTCCTCTTCTTACTCCTTTTGTACTCGTAGAGCAGAGGTGGACGTAGAGATTCATAACTAACATTACCCCCCTCTGCAAAATTGACCTTGTCCTCGCGTTGACGAAACGCGTGGGTGAGATAGGGACGTCTAGGAGGGCATTGTAGTGCTTGGAATCGGTCCTATCCCACTTGTCGAGGGAGCTCCTTGGGATCTTTGGGTCCTTGAGATCGATGGGCGTCCCTTCTTTGCGTGGCCACGGGTAGGTGGCTGACGTCTCGTCATCGTCGGTGTCGCGAGATGTGCGCTTAGCAGCCGTCTTCAAACGAGCCATCTACAAAATCAACAAACCAACTGTTAGCTTCGTCTCCTTTGGTTACTAAGAAAAGATGCAACCTTTCTTCACAAATTTCCAAGAGTTAGAATGTGCTTGCATGTCTTTTCTAGCAACCAAGAATACACCTATCACACCACAAACTCGCAAAATCAAACACATCGCTACATTCAACCAACTTCTTCTTCCTAAATTGAACCCTACTCTTACTCAATCGGTGCTCATGCTTCTAAATAAATAGTAACAGTAAAGAAGTTATCAATTCGGGTCCAGCAACCTAGAATCGATCTACGAAGAACAAAGAAGCATGGAGAATTCGATTCTCAAACCATATGTATGTGAGCCGAGTTCTAAGTGGAGCGAGTAGGGGTGATACCTTGGTGGATCTGTGATAACAACTGGAGAAATGGTTAGATCGCAAGAAGTTAAACAATTTAGACCCGAAAATCGCCAAAAACGGTTGAGAAACGAGAGAGTTCGAGTTTTTGGGTGAAAAACTTGGAGAAACCCGAAATAATGGAGGCTGGGGAAGAAGAAGGGTTTTTAAAAAGGCCCATTTTTTTTATTTTTTATTTTTTTTTATTTTTTTTTTCGTAGAACAACGTATCGGAGCAACGTGTTATTGTTCGTCAACCTTGCTCTGCTCCGAAAAACAGAGATATCTCCCTTTTTTTTTAAAAGTAATTTACAAATAAAAGCAAAAGTAAAAGTGAAAAAATAAAATCTAAACTCACCAGTGGGTTGCCTCCCACCAAGCGCTTGGTTAAAGTCACTAGCTTGACTTAGGTTGCCTCGGTTAGGCAATGGATGGATCACTTAGAGGAATTTCTTCCCCTTCAGTGATGACTGTGTCAGCTAGGTAAGGCTTTAGACGTTGTCCATTCACTACGAACTCTGCCCCTTTCGTGTCCAGCAACACAATGGCTCCATAGGGTCGCACCTCTTTTATTGTGAATGGTCCAGACCACCTTGATCTCAGCTTTCCAGGAAACAGCCTCAACCTTGAGTTAAAAAGCAAGACATGATCGTTAGGTTGGAAATTCCTGTTAATGATCCGCTTGTCATGGTACGCCTTGCTCCTTTCCTTGTAGATCAAGGAGCTCTCATACGCCAAGTGTGTGATCTCATCTAGCTCATGAAGCTGAATGGAGCGCCTTTCTGCTGCTGACTTTAGGTCGAAATTGAGCAACTTGACAGCCCAAGCTGACCTGAATTCGAGCTCTACAGGGAGGTGAAAATCTTTACCATAAACTAGATTGAAAGGAGTAGTCCCAATAGGTGTCTTGTAAGCTGTTCTGTACGCCCAGAGAGCATTGTCGAGCTTGATCGACCAGTCTTTGCGCGAGCTGTTCACTGTCTTCTGCAGTATGCTCTTGATCTCTCTGTTCGACACCTCAACTTGACCACTGGTCTGTGGGTGATAAGCTGTTGCTACCTTGTGTTTCACTCCATTCTTCTTTAACAACCCATCAAAGACCTTGTTGATGAAGTGTGTTCCTCCATCACTGATAACCACTCTTGCTATCCCAAACCTTGGAAAGATGATGGATTTGAACATCTTCACCACCACTTTAGCATCATTGGTCGGACTTGCTATGGCTTCAACCCACTTAGATACATAGTCCACAGAAACTAGGATGTACTCGTTCTTGAAGGAAGGAGGGAACGGTCCCATGAAGTCTATGCCCCAGCAATCGAACACCTCAATTTCCAGAATGAAATTCTGAGGCATTTCATTCCTCTGGCTGATGTTACCTTGCCTCTGACATGAATCGCATCTCGAGATGAAAGCATTAACATCACGGAACATAGTTGGCCACCAAAATCCTGCTTGGAGTATCTTGGATGCGGTCTTGAAGGTGGCGAAGTGCCCTGCGTAGGAGGACCCGTGACAGTGGTGGATGATCTCTGGAATCTCTTCCTCAGACACACATCTTCTAAAAGTTCCATCCTTGCAATGCCGGTACAAGTAAGGCTCATCCCAAAAATAGTACCTTGCATCTCTCAAGAACTTTCTCT